GCCTTTCAGGAAAAAAAAAAAAAAAAAGGGAATGAGAGAAAAAAAAAAATTAGTCACAAATAGTGTCACCAGAGGGCATTTTAGTTTGAAAGCCTGTAGTAAAAATGTAAATCTTTGTCGAAGTCATGCAGCAGCTGTTATAAAAACTAGAAACATTCAATGTGCTTGTTGCTCACAATGACTATAAGTTTTGGAGATTGTGCTTTGTTAGTAAAATTGTTTTACCAAAACAGCCAGAACTTTCATGATGTGTGGCTTCCCCAATCCGCAATGTGAGTTTTGGCTTTGGGGACATTTGAAACATCTGGTAAGTTGTGAGAATCAAAGAACTTTATCTGATCTTAAAGCCAGCACTTCATAACTTTTCCAAGCATATACTTCAGTCAACTGTGGAACATGCCATCTTGCAATTTCAGATGGCAGTTGAAAATGACTGTCTCATGCAGAACATATTTTTTTTTTAAATTTGTAAAATTTAAAAGCTATTGTTAAAGTGTGGCTAAATGTATAATTTATTAATATGATGGCTTCTGGTGACGCTATTTGAAACTAATTTTTTTTCACTGAAAGACATTCTCATCCCTTCATCACAAAATTTCACAATTTTCTGATCAGTAGTTTCGCTTGTAGGCATGTTTGAAACAGGGTTTCTTAATAATAGACCTCCTGTATATATAGAGAGCAAGTAAAAAGTAAGAAATAGTTGCTGCCTATTTATATGAATTTCATCCATGTAGCTAAATCAAATGCATGGAAACTTTTTAAGATTGCTGTAGATCCCCAAACACCTCTGTTAGATTTTCAAAGAAATATTGCCCTGGGATTGCTGAAAATGAGAGAATATTCTGAAAAGTCTCATTCTTTACCAGGGCCAGATTTACGTATAAGCTACACAAGTTATAGCTTAGGAGCCCTACTTTCTTGGAGCCCCCCCCGAAAATTAAAATATATTATAAGATACTTATACAGGGCCCCATATCTCAATTAGCTTAGGGCCTTATCATGTCTTAATCTAGCTCTGTCCTTCACTGTCATATACTAACTGTGTTGGCTGACCATCTTCTTTTTTTCCCCCGAATTTAGTCTCAAGCAAAATGAGAAAGGATTCTACAAATCACATTATCAAGAAAATTCAACAAACAAAACTAAAAGAAGCAAATACTGGGGTAATTAGGCAATAACTGTTTATAATAAATGTTAGCACCTTTGCATAGCAAATGTTTCAAAGATTTCCATTTATTCCAAAATTAATTGGTTTTGACTGACGTTGTGTTTTCACAACATTTTGTATCTTCAATAAGAACAAATACTTTTTTTCCCTGTTACATTTTTTCTCTTAATTAGATAGATTCTAATATCTCAAAATTATCTTTATTCATTTCCTTCAAGTGAGAGGTAGTGTGGTTGTTGATGGGTTAATTAATTAATTACACATACATTTATTCTCACCATATCTGGCAATATTCAGTTCACATAAAGAACAGCAGATATTCTGCATTCATCAAAATTTTCATTATGGAAAATACATGAATGAAGAATGTTAGTCAGTTCCCCCCCCCCCAATTACAATAAAATTAAATGCAGTATAACTATTTTTGCAAAGAAATTCCAGTTTAAAACATGATTCCACTTTAAAATTTACACTGTAAAAACACTATACAATCACATTTTTAATAATCTTGTGTATGCATTGAAGTATTGTTACTATTCTTTCAATATATATAAATAAAAATCAATTTAAATATAAAATAAAAAACACTTCACATTTACAGAATTCAAAGTAAAATAGAAAAAATTCATAATAATAATACAAATTAGATTTTTCTAACACATATAAAATAGATATCAAAATATGTTGTTAACTACAAAATTAAACTTTTAATAACAAAACAAATATTTATTACATAAATTAAGTATAAAGGAATTGACTTTTTCAACATTTTGTTAATAATAAAAAAATGTATATAAAAAAAGGGAGAATGTTAAGAAGATAAGAAGCATTTTGCTTAAAACAATTTAGTATAAAGAGAATTAAGATAACATAAATACAAATTTTATTATACGAAACGGGCAAACCTATTTTAACCTAAAGATTTCAGAATATTTTCTAATTGCAATGGCATTTAGGCTTAAAAAGATAAAGTATATCTGGAAAGCCTTCATTCAATCCTAAATTTTGCACAGAATAAAAATAAAATTCACATAATATGAAATTAGTTCACTTTTGGATTTTGAATTATTGCTGAAGCATGTTTTAATTTCTTATTCATCTAATTAAACAGGGTTGCACGACTTAGGTTTCCAGAAAAGCTCAAATAATTGTATACTTGTGTACTACATCATGGACAATTATTTGAGCAGGTTTTTTTAAATAAAAATAAATAATTATTATTTATTACAACAATAACCTATTTGTTATAACATATTACAACTTATTTATTACTATTAATTATTTAATGTATGACTTGTAAATGTTTGCAGAGATCATGGAAGTAATTTCACATAATGATAAAGGAACTTTAAAATACAAATATAGAGAAGATACCATATTTTAAAAATTCCTTGTTAATGGGTTATGTAATTTTATTATAAACGGTATGAATCCCAAGTTTTAATGTGCAGACACTGAGTAGGAAATAAAGGTAATCAAACTTTCAACTTATCAAATAAATAATTAAAAATTTCATCAGCAACACGTTAAACTGAATTTCACATAAAGAACCAACATTTAATTTTTAAGCTATATTAGATATTTTGAAACTGATACTTAATAATAAAGATTGAATGTTGTTAAATTTCTTTTATCTAGAATCACAAAATTTCAAACAGTTTTCATTTTAAAAGAATAAAATTATAACAAATAATGAAAGAAGGAATACATTTACTTGCATAGACATAAAATTTCATAGATAAATTATTTATTTAAATCTCTTTCCTTATATCTCATAACTAATCGATTAAAACGCTTCACAATTATTATTTTACAAGCAATAAGTTTACTTTATGAACAAACCTCTACATTATATGATTCTTATTAAACTACAACTTAATATGAAATAGACCAAAACTTTTATTCTTAAATATCTTCATATGAATGTGCGAACTTAAAACACAAATTCTTTGAATGAAAAAAATAACATTTTCATCTTATGCTAAAAGAATTTACAGGAATATAAAAGTTGTATAAGTTAATTATTTTCAATTTACAGTAGTTGTAACAGTTTTTATCTAAAACTGGTATCTTTTTCAAACATGTATTGCTAATTTTACTGACAATTTTACTAAAACTTATTCAGAGAAAAGCATTAAAAATTAACAGAGCTATTGACTGAAAAAAAGAAATAACTGAAATCTGAAGCAGTTTTCTATTCTTAAAAACTTTTGAAAATTCCAAGTACATTTTTTTTCCCTTTTATGTTTGTTGTCTAATTAATTATGGCAAAGTATATGACAAACAACAGCTATCAATTAGCTTCAAATACAGTTTATAAATTAAGCATAATTATTTATATTTAACTAAATCTTTTACAGTTTTATGCTCCACAGCTTTATACGCCAGTTATTAAAAAAAGTATTTTAACAAAACAGATAAATTTGCTCCAAGCAAATTGGGCATTAATAATTAATATAATAATCTATTCTCTAAGATAGTATATGTTGGTTATTCCAAATCTTCTTTTATCAAAATAAACACTAATGAAGAATGTTAGTCAGTTCCCCTCCCCCAATTATAATAAAATTAAATGCAGTATGACTATTTTTAAATTATTATACAAACTATTATAAAAAATTATTATAATTTTTCAAATTTTAGTTTAGTATAATTTTTTTTTTGTGGGAGGGGGAGACCAGATAATTAATAAATGATGATATTTGTGTTTAACAGCTTATATATTTAGAGGACAGTTGTATATTATATAAGCTTATTGCTTGACCTTCCTATTCTTTTCAGTCTTTTACAACTATACATGTGACCTTTCTTTTGATCTAACCTTCACCAGATTTAATCAATTATCTTTTAACCACTAACAAAAAAATTATTTTGACTACAATTTGTGAGCATAGGAGACATTTAAAATGGAACAAAAATATAAACAATGTCACATTAATAAAAAAATATCACAGTTAGTTATATAACTTCAAGCTAATTTAACTTTGGGTCTAAATAGAATAAAATACACTTTTTGATAATATATATATTTCAGCAGAATGATAAATTAAGATTTTAGAAAATGTCAAGAAGGGGGAGAGGAGCTAAAACTGAGATTAGAAATAGATTCATGAAAAGTTATTAGAACATTTTCTGTCCTTGAAGTATCTGCCCAGCAGAAAGTTTAGATTCTCAAAACAAAACTCATCTTACGAGCTTGTTATGATACATATAAAAATGAGACAGATCTAAAAAATTAATTTTGTTATTTTACATATATGTAATTTTCAAAAATTTAGAGTAGATTTGAATATTCCAAATGCAATTCAAAAGAACCACCTAATTCATTCCAACTTTAATATTACACAGCAAAACCAATTACTTTTAGTACACTTTGTTTTCTTTGAAAAATTACTGAATGATGCTTATATGAAATCAAAAAATCAGTATCAACAAGTTAAAAAAATTAACAAAAGGCCTACCCTTTGAGTTACCTAGGTGCTCAACATCAAATCTCCAACTGATGTAATGGTTGGAGGAATTCATATCACAAAGTTTACTTATTAACATGTCATCACAGGAATTCAATTAACAATGAAGAATAAATAATATGTAATATAATAAATAAAAGTACAGCATTCTTTCTATCAAAATACCTAGATGTCAATGGGAACACATATTTAATGCAATCAAATAGAGATTTTTTTTAAATAGAAAATAAACTGAATAAATCGTGATTTATAAAAACAGCAAAATTCTCTTATAGAGATTTCAAAAATATAGCACAAAACTTAACAGTCATATAATGCATTAATTTTAGTAGTTTCATAAGAACAAGACTTTGATATGCATTAAATAAAACATTTAAAAATAAATAGCAATAAATGGGACATATATTACCCAATAAAATTTAAAACATAGAACACAACACAGTTGTTTTAATCGAACATACTACATACAATCATGTAAATGTTATCACAATAATTTTCCAAGTATGCATATTTTTAAAGCAGCATAAAAAGTAATTTCAAACTGTCAATATAATATGAATGATACATCATATTTTTGCTTAGAGTTTAGGATATTAAAAGACTGCGGAATATAACAATATACAGCCCATATAAAAATCAGAAGCTAGATCTGTATTTTTTCACATTTGGCTTTTTGATGCATAGCAATAATGTTTAAGCAAAAATGCATGTAAAAACTGGAAAGACTTTTATTTTGTTCATTTATTTTACAACCGAAGTTTAAAAGCAAAAGCAAAAAAAAACTTTCATCAATCTACTTCATCTTTTGAACAAAAAATTCATTTGTTCTACAATGTAGTCTTTAGCTGGTTCATAATACTCCCGCCTTAAAATAATCATTTCAGGCAGTTTGCGAATGTCACTGAAAAGGGAGGAATCAGATTCCATGACAACAATCAAAAGGCACGAGAGCAGAAGTAAAACAAACAAGCTAGCTAATACAACCACACGCATAATATTCACATGTAAAGGAAGAGTTGTAGAAGGTGCCATCGGAACTTTCCTTTTGGGAATTTTCACATCTAGAGGCACTACATCCTCACTCTGACGATACACCGGAGCCTGATATGAATTTGAAATTACTTCCATAGATTCGGGTAATTCTTCAGCCGTATCTGAATCTTCTCTGTTGCCTTCTTCTGTGTTCAGTCTTGATATTGAGTTATCACATGATACTTGATTGCTATTGAATGTAGGTGATTCTGAATGCATAGTGTCTGTTGGGCTATACGAATCGCATTCTTCTTCCAAAATGTCCAAGCCATCTGCAGGTATACTAGATAATGTTGGTGATGTTACATTGCGATTTACTTGTATGTTATCCTGGTCATTAATATTCGGATGAATATCATTTCCAGAGTGATTTGAGTACAACATACCGTTATAATCTGCAATAATAAATCACAATTTCAGAAATTACTGCTATAGTTTAAATCAATTTAAATTAACAGGAAAAAAAATCACCTAATACATGACAAAGTTACTTTTTAATCATGGCCAGTGGCTGTAGATGGTGCTGGAGTAAAGAATGCATAATTACACAGTAGAAGGATGGAACTTGCAAACAAATACAGCCAGTTACTTGATGGCTGATAACAGATGCAGGCACCAGTACTTTAACCTAGAGTTCAGGTGCTGCCTTTTGACTGCAATTTTCTGTACATTAGATGTTTTTTCAACTTTTAATACTTCCCCAGTATTAATGTTTGAATAGATTTATGAGAATGAATTCACAGAATATTTGAGGTTCTTGCACTTATGGAGATGCAATGCTTGCTAAGATGCAGGCATTAGCCATAATATAACTTTATTATTGGATAAACTAATTCCTTAGATGCATATCGTGATTCACATATCATTATGGGTGCAATGTGCATCTCACATTTTTGGAAGCTTAGTACATTTAAGACAATAAAAGATAAAGAGAAATGATCTGCAACATGTTAGCAGAGGGCAAGCAAGCAAGGAAAGTGCCGAGGCAATCAGAAGAAGCATGAGAGAGTGTCAAAAGGTTTTGGTTTTAACTGAAATCTAATTCAGCGATTGGCTAAAAGGTATTTGCATCAGAGCATTGTGCAAGATCATTGAAACAGTTTAGATTCATATATTATAAATAGTTACTATTTTTGGAACAGAAAGGATAAATATCCAAATTAAAATGAAGGTTAAAAGGGGCTATTGCCAATTAAAATCAGAAGTTTGTTTTCCATATTTTTATCTTACATATATGTATACATCAAAATTATTAAAAAGAAAGGAAAAATCAAAAATCCTTCCAAAAGAGAACCTATAGCTGCATCTATTAATATTGCAGTAAAATTCCAATTATCTGCATGACTTCAGAACAAGAGCTGTGTGAACTATTAGGTCACACAGCTCTTGTTCTTGAGTTTTGTATACATTTTATTCCTTTCAAATTTTTATGTTAAATCTAGATTAGTTGTACATAAATAATTAACCAAAAGATACTCTTACCTTATAATTATATAATCAAGATTTACTGAATACAAACTATTATATTTTTTAAGCATGTTTACACACAAAAAATATCAATACTATAAGGATAATTTTCCCCCTTCTCTTCTTTAGCACCAGAGGTACTATTAGTCTCAAACCTTTCTTTTATGTTTGTATCACTTTTGTGTCCATATCACTTTTGAAATGTTGCCACTACATTTTACTGTCATGTATTAATTTCAAAAGAAATAATACAGAAAATATAAAAAATGTATGGCAACAAAAATTAAAGCATGTTGACATCAAATGTTATTGTGATGTATTATGTATTATTTTTAAAGAAATAACCAAGCGAATATAGGGGAAAATGTATAAAAAATTTAGGTTTGAAGCTAATAATAAAATGAAAAAAAAAGTTGTGTAAGGCATCTTCCTATGAAAGCTGTACATAAAAAAGATAAAGGCCTGAAAAAAACATTAATGGTAGCATTTAACATTGTATGGGGAATTTTAAATATATGCTGCTTTTAAAAATTTTAGGATTTTGCTGTTGTATGTGGCAAAAGTGAAAAGAAAGTGATATTTAATAATAAAGTTAAAAAGATAAAAAAAAATGTGTTAGCAGGAGTGTGTAATAAAAAAAATGTGTTAGAACAGCAGACTGCAAGCTCAGCAAGAGCATCAAAACCTTAATAAACCCTCTGGTGTGATGCTAAAATCCACAACCTTTCAGACCCCCCCTTTTTTTTATTTATTTTTTAAAGGAATAAACAAAATTTTTGTGTTATCTATCAAAATACTTTATGTGAAAAAGTTATGTATCTATTACAGAAATTACTTTCAAAGTAACTTTTATATTCTTAATGAGGGAAAAATCGATAAATAAAAAAACACCAGCAGTACAAGTTTTCTTAAACAGCCCTCTACTTTAGTTCCAGCCATTACATTTGGTACATGTGCAATTGAATTAATAACACCAGCAAAAGTTACAAAAAAGTGCCAAAACGTAAATTTTTAATTTATTAAAAGAAATTTTATTTTTGTTTTTTTAGTTGCTTGTTAGCATGTTTTCTATTTTTAAGGCCAGGAAATCTCTACAACATGTGGGGGCCATTAGCTATTTTTAATAATCTATTTGTTCACAAAATAAACAAGTTTATTTTTTGAACAGAATGTATGCAGACCATATAACTAGTGGAAATTAGTGTCTAAATAATGTGAATAAATATATTAATTACATGTTAACCACATAAAATCAAAATTCCTTTAAAAGATTATGAACACTCAAAATTAGATTCGTGATTTGTGTTATATAGTTATGAGTTATTAATACGTGCAAATAAGGATGCACAAGATCATTTGAATATTATTTATTCTACACAGCCAGCTACTGTTCTATATTACTATTACTGTATTAAAGGTGTGACACACACACACAAAGAAACCCTTTCAGTATTAAATAAACAATTCTGCATTCGGTGCTGCCACAGCTGGTAACAGTTCTGGAACGAGGTTTTTGGAAGGCCCTTTAGGAGATTTTCCATTTTTGCCTGAAGCTCTTCAGCTAAGGTAAAATGGGTTCCCTTTAAGTAAGATTTAACTTTAGGAAATAAAAAACAAGTCACACGGAGCCAAATCAGGTGAATAAGGAGATTGCCCTATCACAGTAATGTTTTTGCTGGTGCATTGTCCTGGTGAACAGCCACCCATCATTCCACAACTGTGGCCCTTTTATTCCCAAGTTTTTCAGAAGGTCTTTTTATAATACTAGTAGTATTGATTAACAGTCTGACCACTGGGAACCCATTCAATCATGATGAATGTGCTGGGCACCCTAGTGGGCGACCAGCATGCTCATCATCTTCCACACTGTAACTACCCTCTGAAAAACACATATGCCACTCAAACACACATGCATTAGACAAAGTTTCATCTCCATAAGGTTAACATTTGAAATGCTTCCTCCATGACTGATTTCATCAGTTTCACAAGAAACTTGATGTTAATCCGCTGTTCAGTTTTTACATTAGACATTTTACATTTTTCTGGCAGAATGCAGCTGCACATGTTCACTCAATGACGCAGTACTCCCCACTGGCATGGTCAGTTAAGTCGAAACTGGCCACATATAGAAGAGGTATGTGGCATGATGTCACCAAAACAGTTGTTACCAACTTCACTCTGTTTTCAAGCTACACAATCTCTTTTTTTTTTTTTTTTTTTTGTGTGTGTGTGTCACACCTTGTATGACTTAATTAGTACAGTTATTATTATTGGACTTATTAAAGAATACAGAGGATTCTGATAACGCAAAAGCATAACTCACATTGTATGAAAACAACAAAATAAATACTTACTTAAAAAATAACTAAGAGTAATATTTTAATTCTCATCATTACACTATAGTTATTAGGCAATCTAGAACTATTCACAATACTGTTATTAAATTTCTCATGATTAAATTTAATAAAGAGTGGAATGATATGAAAAAAAAAATGATAAAAAACAGAAACTTATCATCTTACCATTCATTATATGGTCATCATGAGGAGATGTACAAGGAGAGCTCATATAGCTATCAATTTTACGCAATGAAGGTGGTCTGGTAAAAGAACGCTGAAACTGGGGTTGTTCTCTTTTAATCTGTTTTGTATCTTCCATTATTTCTTTTTCCACCCTACCGCTATGAAATAAATTAAAATTAAAACACAGCAATTTTAGTGAAAAACTAACTACCTTATATTAAAAACATCTATGCAAAACATGTATAAATATTTAATACATGTTAAGGTAGATAAAGAGGAATAGTGCCTGTTTTGTAAATATTAATTCTGAGAACAAGGCAATTTTACACAATTTTCCCAAAAGATGCAAAAACCTACACAGTGCAATGCTTTTTTAAGATGGAAAACTAATTACATCAAAATGATTGTGTTTCCAGTTTTTCCTTTCCTTTGTCTTCAATAAAACCCTACAGGAAACATCACAAGAGGATAGCAATGACATATCATTTTCCCCAGTATGACTAACCAAGCAATGGTGTAGACTATCATTCAGGGACTGGCATATCTTTTTATGCCAATATGGTGATGCACCGTCCTGCTGCAGAGTGAAGGAACCACTTCTTCCAACTGACGCAACAACCACTCTGAATGCATATCTTGATAACATACCCATTAATCGAATTTTGCACTAAGAAAAAAGGACCAAAAACACAACTGTTAGAAATGATGCAGAAAACATTTACACCTTTGGAGAATCCCGCTTACGTTCCATTACACTATGTGGGTTTTCCATGCCCCAAAATCATAAACTATGATTAGCTTTACTAAAAATATGAAAAGTGACTTCAAGACATTTTCATAACACATGCCACATTACCACATGGGGCACACTGAGTTCAGAACTTGAACAATGCATTTTTTTTTTTTTTTTTTTTTTTTGCGGGACTTGGTAAAAACGTTTCATAAATACTGAAGTGATTTTTTCAATCACTTCAGTTTTCACTGCTGATTATCCTGGGTTGGTTTTTTAACAGAAGCAGCCCATATCACACGTTGTGATGATGTGGTGGTTCTTTACCAAATTTTGTGAGAAGATGTCTTTGAATGACGATGTTTTGCCATATTCCCAAACACAGTATGCTTCCTCCTGTACAGATGGCAGCATTTTGATTAACAGTGCCGCTGGTGGTTTCATAATTAAAAGATTTTCTGCAGTTGCCAGATAAAACTTGTATGGTTGTAGCCTCAGAATTAATATGTTTCAGCTTAATAAAACAATCATAGAATTTGCATTATGCTATTCTTTTTGTTCCCATCAGTAAGAAACACCTGAAAAACCTTTTAAATATCTATTAAGATTGAAGAAATTTCATCTATTGTTACACTACAAATCAACATAATGGCCATAAAAGTGCTCAACCAGCCTTTATTTTCACAACCACTGGTCATAGACATACACAGTACAGTTGTCTAGAGTACAAAGTCTGACATCCAGGATCATTGGGACTAACCATTTCAGAAATTTCTGTATTTTAGATTGTAAGTTTAAATCTGGTGTCTACACCATGTCAACATTGGGGTTTTATTTTTTGTTTAGGTCGGGTAGAAATATGTTAATTCCCTATACAACTACTAAAGGGTTGAACCTGTGGGCCCCGCCAAAAATAACATGTCAATCAATTAACTGTCATTAGACATGGTAGCACAACTCCTTAGCCAGCAGGTGTTTGAAAGTGACATGCCAGGAATCTCAGTTAGTGGGAAGAAAAACTACATTAATGGCCCACCTGCTTTCTTTTTTGAATATTATCATTCTTCATTCTAATATCTTCGTGGACAAGATAAACATCTATGAAACATGCTGACAGTATAATCCATTTTAATGATAAATGTTGCCCAGGGTACAACCACATGGAGGTAGGTCTATGCTGAAACATTTGGCTGGTTTCTTGTGGGGAAGCATCAGGAACAACTACAGATATTACTTATAAGATATTCATATTACCTATGATCCTAAATTGCTGTGAACCACTGATAACAGCAAGTGAGCAAGTTCTCAAGAAATTGGGAATTTTTCAAAATCAAGCAAATATATGTCTTTTTACTGGAGGTGTTAATCTACTTCTATTGGAGCTATGCTACTGCTAACAAAAATTTTGAATTTTGCCTGTAAGAACTATTACTGTTAAGAGCAGGGCTGTTATTTTATATGATAAGTTGCTTCACACTGGATATCCTTTCTGGACTAATTATCGGGACATAACACGAAATCTCAGAACCCAGTGTGTCTTCCTACAAAAAAATTGTAAAATTAGGAAGGAATTTAGTCTAATCTATCGAATACAAGAAATTGTGTTACCAACAAACCTCCGTTCTGTGTTCCAAATCGATATAGAACTTGACTACTTCAGTCACCAAGAATGATACATCTATAGAGTTTCTGAAATGCCTTGCCCTAGAAAACATTAAAGTATCCAAACATGCTAAAAAGGCCCAAAATGCGAATTTTCTTTTATTTATTCATTCCATAGATATTTTATTTAGCTTTCCAAAAAATTATCTTATTCTTTGATTATTTTTAATAATACTTGAGTTAAAAATCTAGTGAGGGGTGATAAAAAATTCAAAGCTGTATCTCTAAATGTAAATGGGTAAGAAACAAATTATAAAATGGGTTGCAAAGGAAATCAAGAATAATGTTTATACAGCAATTTTCATCAAGTGAACCAAAACTAAAAAAGTTGCTTACCAGTAGGGGAAATTTTTGAAAGTGATTTGTGATGCGAAAGATATTTATGTTAAAATGGTGTTACCAAGCATGAATATATAGGTCATATTCAGAAGCACCATTCAAGGCTTAAAAAACTGAAGAGAAAAGTAAAGGTCTTGGTGGACCAGTCAATGTCGCTCACTAATGGATGCTTTATTAACCAACTTAAAAATTACTATGGACTAACAATCAAGAATAATACAGAGGACTTTGCAAAGAGCTGCGTGTAAACAAACCTTAGAATTTCATTTTCTAATATGCTCAGTCTGACAGTCCTTTTGTTGAGCTATTATATTACATCTTGATTTCCAAGGTAAAAGTCCTTTTCTTAAAACATCAAGGTTGATTTTATTCCACTCCTCCTTCATAATCATCCAGAGTCTATCCAATGTTTTTGGATGCCGCAAGTACAAATACACAGTAATCCATAGGAGACACATCAGGGGACTTGGGTGGGATGCACTTAAAGGGAACAGCTTCAATTCTGGTTTCATTTCTCACCTTTTCAAAAAACACAGGAGTAAATTTAGAGATGTGGTTTGGAGCCATCTCCTCATGGAACTTAATACCGTTAAGATTGTTTGGATAAAGAGATGGAAGTTCTTCTTTAAAAATAAGTGTTAAAACATATTTCTAACAGTAATCCGAATTAATTTTGACATTTTTTCTACTTTCCTTATTTTAAGTTTTTCATTATAAGAGAATCCAACAATAACCATAAAACCTTTAGAAAAAACATTCCTTGTTTTCTCTGAACCAAAATATTCAGTCTTTTTCTCCTCTTCTTAGATAGTAAATTGATCTTTCTCTATTGCAGTCAAATAAATATATCCAAGTCTCATCAATTGTAACTATATATTTCCATCTTTAACCCGCTAAATAATTTTCATACAGCAATCTGCACATCCTATGGCGAGAAACATGTTTCAGCATTAGGAGATGAACATCTTGTTTTTTGTTTGTTGTTTTGATTAGCTTTAAATTATATTTTATAATTTTGTTCACAGTTCCCATAGAGATATTTAAAGATTTTGCAATAGCTCTTTGGGGGCCTGAATTCTTTTTAAAACATGAGATGCGACTTTTAGATTTAATAAGACCTCTAGGTAACTTTGTTGGGTATGCATTTTTTACCTTTTTCTCAGCCAAATACAAATTGTGACATTTTTCTCCTTTCATATTAATTATATCACTTATATTACATGTAGAAATATTAAAATTAAAAGAAGAATCAAAATCATGCTTTTCGCATCATTTTTTTAATAATTGAATAAGAGTATTTTTTTCCAGACAGCGCAAAAATTCTTCGATCATTATGCCTTCGATCCATTGTTTATTTTTCAACGACATTTTAAAGAAAAGAATATTTTTAATGCTGCAGACGATAATTAAATCTTATTCCAATTTGATGCCAGTCACATTCGTACTTAAAAATTAATATTTAAATTCATGGAGGAAATCAAAATCGTTACAAAAATGTGTGAACACCCTCTGTATATATAACTTACAGGGAACAGAAAGTGCTGTAACTGCTCCATTTATTGTTGTATTTTCTCTACTGCAAACCAACCTATGCATTGTCAGTGCCCTTATATTTGGTGTAAATATCAGCGATCTGCATCAATTAGAAGAATCTATGAAGACAAATCTAAAGCAGTGCTAAAGGATTGGATTGGATTGGATTATTCAATTATGGCAAAGCACACGAGGGCTATCTGCTTAAAGGGAGAGATGCCTTCGTGGAGGACTTTCTAAGCGAAACTGGCTCGTATACACGTTACACATGGGGAAACCATGGAAACGCCCATGCAGCCAGCCCGTTCGCAGGATTCGAACCTCGGACCGAACTACCAGTGTTCAGCGTCTTTACCGCTCGGCCACTGGTGGGGCAGTGCTAAAGGAATGTTCTTAATATTCTTAAAACCTGTATATATGAAACTATGCAAGCAGAGACTCTTATGAAAGTGCTTATAAAGAAAGACACAAATTGCAAACAACAGTTTTAATGGCATTTTTTTGTTTACAGAATTACGAACTCTTAAATTGGGGGGCATATATAGCTGGTATGCAGTTTAACAGACAAATTCAAGGCTTATTGGGAATTAAAGCTGAGCAAAAGGAATGTGTAACCTATAGATTTGGAGATTTTAAGGTATCTGGGTGAAGATTTAATAATAAAAATGTTGCATTTTTCTCAAAACTTGCTTACTTGGTGCAAGATAAATCAAATTATTATAATTTTATTTTTATGAAACACTGTATACTTAACCTTTATATAATTATCTAAAGAATGACGTATCAGAATATTTATATTTAAAATATTTTTGAAATTGTGGCCTGTTATTAAAGTAATGTCATCAAAATTTTATTGAATATCTCATAAAAAACTTCAATATGCTGAAAAAAATT